TTACTCAGCCCCCCCCCCATCCCTTGCACTGTCCTGGTGGGAGGAGGAGCCACTGAGCAGCCCCTTTCCACTGCTAAGACAGACACCCCTTCTCTTCTAGCTTGTGGAGTGGACCCCAAACGTGTGGACAGAGTGAGTTGGTTTCCCCAGGACCTGGCGGCATCAGGCCCTCAGGAACCGCTTCCTTCCCACAGCAAGGCCCTGGGAGGGCACGGTCCCATTTGTCCTGTGGGGCTGGCCCTGGCTCTCTAAAGTGACCTGGGGGCTTGGGCTGAGTGTAAGAAGGCAACTGACCCTTTGTCAAGCCCTGTCCTTCCTGCTGCTTGTGACACCTTCACCCACAACCCTGCTCCCTGGGGTATGAGGGTGTCAGGCAGGGGTGCTGAACCCCCGTAGCACAGCACAGGGTTCTGGTGTCAGCAGCAGAGTCCTGGATGTGCTGAGCCTGTGCCGGCCTGAGGGGACAGCCTGGGGAGACATGGGGCAGGAGAACCTACTGTGCCCCCTGAGACCCTGCAGGGAGCCTGGGTGTGGACTCCTGAGTCAGCTCTTTGCCTTCCTAAGGTCTTTTCCTGGTGCTCATGTCCTCGGAGAGGGCCTGGGGCTCGTGACAATGCCCACAACGAGATCGTGAGCAACAGGAACTCGCAGTCCTCCCTGGTCTCTGAGCAGGAGCTGGAACAGCAGGAGCACGCGGAGCTGGCACATGTCATCGTACAGTCCCCAGGGGAAGCAATGCGTCTGCTGGTGAGTGGATGGTGGCTATGCAGCATCTTGGCCCTTCTGCTTGCCCAGACTGTGGTAGAAACAGGGAAAGACCAATGCTGGTCAGGTCCCCTGTCCCCTGGCGACGTGGTGATGGAGGGAGATAGGAACTTGAAGTGGGGAAGGGGCTGCTGCGCAGGGAGCCCGCCACCCTGGTGTGTGGACTGTCAGCTCTGTGGAATGTCTGCCCTGTTACGACTGTACCCCAGAGCCTGGAACAGGCGGCACAGAGTGGGCGCTCCCATGTTTTCGAATAATTGAATGAGGGCTGCACAATATTCCATTGTGTGATTGTTATATGATTTAATAATTCTTCATAACATTAAGAATTTCTAATTTATTTCAAAATTATTATTACATTGAATCTATATGAAAATACATCTTAGTCTAGATATCTAATCATATTTATATGGTGGCTTTTAGAAGTAGAATTCCTAAGTAAATACGTAGATATGCTTTTTAACTACATGCACGCCCACACAGTTTGGGTTTATATCAATTCATCAGTTTTGATATGACACCGAGTGGTAAATCTGTAGAAACATTTAATTTTTTATTCCTCATAAGCTTAGAACGTCATTCTTCTTTACTTACGATGAGACGGGATTCTCTAATTTCTTAGAGTTTTTTTATTTTAATGATGACTTTTAGCATATAGCAATATTATCTAAGGGGAATTGATTTTGTGACATGACTGACATAGGGGTCTCTGAGTCACTGTCTCATTCCTCCAACCCCATTTAGCAGCTGATTCTCCCATCTCCCTCCAGGCTGGGCCTCTCCTTTATCATGTATGAAATGTTTACCTAGACACTGATCTTTTTCCACTTACGGTCGTCTTCTGTTTCTTTCCTGCATCTATACTACGTTCTTTTTCAATAAAGAGAAAGGATAAAAGGAAACAAACCAAAAGGGCCAGTAATCCCTCCATCCCGATTAATCACTTTTCACATTTTCTGAGAGCAGTTAGTATTTATCTACAGTGAGAAAAAGCAGTAAATAGTGCACACGTTTCTTCATGAGTGGTGGAAGCCTCCTCGCTCTTTCGTTTCGGGCAACTACAAGGGAGAATATTTTCGCGGTTTTTTGTTGAAATCTTTATGCATATGCCATCGATATACGATACTCTAGCAGGTGAAACTTTCTTTCTTTCTTTTTTTCTTTTTCTTTTTTTTTTTTAAAACCTACAGCAGGTGGTCTCCCATTAAAGTACTAACCAGGCCCAACTCTGCTTAGCTTCCGAGATCAGACGGGATGGAGCGTGTTCAAAAACTTTCTCGTATGTTTTAGTATCCGAGAGAGCACATACCTCTTACTTTCTCGTTCCAAATTTATCTTCTTACCTAGATAAAATTTAGAATTATTTTATAAGATTTCCTTCACCGCACACAAAAAAAGATCTTTGGAATTTTATTTTTTTTTTAATATTATCTTAAATTAGTCCTGGAAAAATTGAGATCTTTCAATATTCAGTATTTTTCTTATCGAAGAAGATAGCATTTCAGGTTAAGGGTTTATTACGACTCAGTTAAGATTTGTGTTTTTCTTCAGATAAATAATTTCTATTTCTTGTCGAAGTTGTTTCTTTGCATTTTACATGTTTTGTTACCCTTACCGGTTGGCTCCGATTACAATTCCATATTCTAATTTATTGTTTCTGCTATGTTTATTAACATTCATTGAGACACGTTCATTTTTAAGTATTGTAGTTTAAATCTTCGGGTTTTTAAAATAGACAGTCATATCTAAAATCATGATTATTGTTTCTGTACCCTTCCACTAGTCTCGCTCCCTTTGTGTTCCATGTCTTGCTGTGTAGAGCAGAATTTACAGAACAATGTTTAAACGTGTTTAGAGAAGGTACATGTTTTGGTCTTGATTTGATTTTATTGGGAAGACCCGATCTCACCCGAAAGAATGATGTTATGAACGCAGCCCCCTATTTCTTGACGTGTTTTTTAAAAATCAGAATTCATGTTTAATTTCAAAATGCCTTTTCAGTCTCCACAGAGATGATCCGATGCTTTTATTTCATTTAGATTATTGATATGGTACATTATTACCGATCAAAGCATCTTCGCATTCGTGGAAGAAACCCTTACTTAGATTTTCCAAAGTTCCTGTCTATATATTCTTCATTCGAGTCACATGAACACCTGGGAGGGAGTGACTATCCCCTGATGGGGTGGTGGGAATGGACTAGAAGGGGCAGAAGGGAGCTGTTTGGGATGGTGGGAATGTTCCACGTCTTGATTGGGCGATGGTAACTCAGGTATATATAGTTGTCAGAACTGGAATAGACGCTTAAGGAGTGAGATTTACTGCAGGGAACATGGGCCTCCATGAGCACACGAGCACATAGCCTGTCAGGGGCGAGGGGTGGGAGATTCTCTCTGTCTCCATAGAGATGCAGGAGGCGAGGCAGCTGCCCTGGGTCACACGTCTGCCTGGTTGTTAGTCTCACTTCTGGAATCCAGGTCTCCTGACTCAGACCAAGGGTGTTCTCCACTGCATTTACAGGCACCAGCAGAAGCTGAAGAGTCCCAGAAGAGAAGCAAGAAGCTGGTTCCGGCAAACGACACAGACCCTATTGACAGTGAGTGTTTTGTTGGGAGTAGTGGAGCCAGAGTGGAGGGAAGTGGACGTGTCCTAACTGCCATCCCCATAGCTCTTAGGACAGTTCAGAGCTAGGGGCGCTGGCACCAGGGGGCCTGTGCTGATTGTCACTGGACCATTGGAACTCTGAATCCTCCTCTGCCACCTCTTCTTCTTCCCCTACTGTGCTCCTCTTTCCTCCAACAATGTCTCCTAACACCTGTCCCTTCCTCCACCAGCCTCCCTCCTTCCTTGTTCAGGGCCAGGTTCACCCTCACTGAAGGACACCTAAGGGGTTGTGCTGTCCAGCAGGGCACCCACTGGCCCCAGGAGGCTACTGAGCACCTGACCTGAGGTTAGGCCAAATTCGAAGAGCTGTAACTTTAAACTACAAACCAGATCTCAAATCTTAATACGAAAAAGGAATATAAACTATCCCATTGATAACTTTTTGTTTATTGATTGCACGTAAAAATGATATTTTGTATGTATTGAGTTAGGACCATATATAATTAAAATTAGTATCACCTGTTCCGTTTTATTTTCTTCAATGCAGCTGTTAGAAAAATGGAAATAGTCCTGGCTCACCTTATGTTTCTGTAGGTCACTGGTGTGCAATATGCATCCCACACACGCCTCATTTAATCCTCAGTACAGTCCCCTGAGATGGGTGGGGTTTGCCGTACCTTACAGGTTAAATTCTTGCTCAGTGTCTGTCCCCATCTAGTTCTGCCGTGTTTGGTGGGTGAAGCCAAGCTGGGTGTGAAGCCAGAGATGTTGCCACCTCCAGGCCCTTGCTCTGTGCACAGGTGCAGATGTGACAGCCTTGGGGCCTTACTCTTAGGATAAGTGCAGGTTCCCTCCTCTGGGAGGCCTGTTGCACCGCAGTTTGCCCCGCCATCTGTCTCCTACCTCACACTGCTCTCTGTCTCCATGACGTCCGTCTCCTCTCTGAGGTGGGCTATCAGCCCTCCATTAAGGTGGAATTCTCTGTTGACCTTGACTCCCCACAGTATTATAGGCACAGGCGAGGCCCAGGCAGGGGGTCCTGATGCTCTGCTGATGCGAAGCAGCTAAGGGAGGCAGAGCCCCAGGTCGCCAGCAGGGGGCTCTCATTAGGTCCCGCCCTGGGGTCTAGGCCTGATTGAGGCTCCTGTGCTGTTTCTGAAGGGTGTCCCACCTCATCTGACTGTCTCTGTGGCTTTCTCCCACCTAGGCCTGAGGCAGCTATTTGATTACTTACCAAACATCGTGCCCTATAATTCCTGGAACCGGCTCATGAGGCTGATGGGCGTCAAGGACAATGATATTCACGTAGCCAGAGCTCGGGCCTTGGACCCAAAGGAAGCCTTTCATGAAATGCTGGTGATGTGGCTCAACAACACGGGGAAAGCTGCCTCAGTCAACACCCTGCTGGTTGCCTTGGAAACTCTTGAGGAAAGAAATGCAAAGGAGACAATTGAGGACTACCTGGTGAAATCCGGAATGTTTGTCTGTGAGGAAGATGGGACAGGTTCTGCTGTGTCCTAAGTGAAAAGAATGTCTTTAGGAAACCAGAGCTTTCCTAGTTCCTCTTTTCTCCTGGAAAAGGAAGCATGATTGGACACTAGCTTGGAAGAAGTTGGTACTGGACCACTACTTGAAGAAACTCTATCATCCAAAAGCCTAGAGCTCTTGGAATGTTCTAGAACTTTTTTTTAATGCACTTAAAGTACTTTTTATGAGCTGTTTGTTGTTTTAAACAAGCTCTGGGAATGTGCATTCTGTGAAGATTACAGCTAGACGTTCATATGCGTCCTGAGAGCTGTCATTCTTTTCAGTTCGTGGCACTTTTTCATCCTAATAGACTTATACTTTTTACTTGTATTTATTATATTGTAAGACCCATCCATGTTGGTAGGTATCGATTTACTTATGTCTAACTATGTGAGATGCATGTTTCTATTTTTATATTTTTGTATGTTTATCTGAGCATAAAAAACTTTTTGGAACTGTATCTACTAGGCTGCTCATATGTTTTACCTGAATGGGAGGAAATAACCATAAAATGAGTAAATGTACAAAGGGGGAGGAGGAAAATCCCCACGTCCGGGGGTGGCACTGGTGGGTCCCAGTTCTCCCTCATATGTAGTTTGAGCTTGTCCAGGATTAGATGACTGGCGACTTCTATAGGGCCCACATTTTTCTACTTGATAATTTTATAAGTATATGAATATTTATATTAATTTAATTATAGGTGAATGTTTACAATTGCCCCGCCCTGTGTCTAGGTGTCCCTGAACTTGATGGTTGCACGTGGGCCTCCTTCTCCTCAAGGGAAGTGGGTGGGGAGGGCGGGAGATGTGTTAGATCTGAGATGCCAAATATGTTCTATGTCATGTGCCATTTCAGGTCATGTTAGTGAACCTTCAGCCCCGTCTGGGCTCGGGGAGAGGGGACAGAGATCTGCTCCCATTGTCTGCCCTGGTCTAAGGGAAGAAGAGTAGATGGTGCTCACTGATTGCATTAAATGTTTGGTAACTTAGCACTAGATGGGCCCTCCTTTTTTTCCCTTCCATTTGCTTATTTATTTCAGACATTTATTGGTGTACACAACATGCATTATACAATACGCAGCACCCGTAATTTAGTCCTTGGTGCTATTAGACAGGTCAGGTTCCCTATGGCCAAGAAGAAGAGAGAAAGGGAGAACTTAAGCGAACTCTCAGTATAACTTATAGTTTTGTACTTTATATTTAAGGCAGCGAGTGCTTTTGAGTGAATGTATGTCTAAGATGTAAAGTTTGTGTCTTTGTTAATTTATTTTCTATGGTCGTCCATTTGTTCTCTCATCATTTGTTGATTCGTCGATAACTAAAGACTATGTTTTCTGTATGGAAGTACCTTTATTCCTTTGACCAACCAAGTTCAAGTTATCTATTTGCATGGGTCTATTCAGGGACTCTGTTCTGTTTCATTTGTCTATGTGTCTATTCATTTTAAAATATCATGATCTCTTGATCGTAGCTTTATAATAAATTGGAAAATTGGGAAGTGTGAGTTCATCAACTTGTTTCTCATCAGTATTGTCTAGACTACTCATTGTTTTAAACTATTTGTTGATATCCACAAAGTAGCTTGTAGAGATTTTTATTGGAATTGCACTGAATGTTTAAAGCAATTCAGGAAGAATTGACATTTTAATACTGTGACTTTTGATCATGAACGGGGACCATATCTCAATTTATTTTTCTTTCAATATATTTAAACTAAAAAAAATTTTTTTAAAAAACAGTTTGCCCATTCCCTGCTCCCCTTTCTGTTCTCTATATCTGTGAGCTTGGTGTTTTTTGTTTGTTTGCTTGTTTGTTTGTTTAAATTCCACATATAACAGAGATCATACAGTATTTGTCTTTCTCTAACTTATTTTACTTTTCTAATGTCTCCTGGTTCATCCATGTTGTCACAAATAACAAAATTTCCTTCTTTTTATGGCTGAATAATATTCCATTGTATGTATGTACCACAGTTTCTTTACCCATTCAGCCATTGATGGATACTTAAGTTGTTTCCATATTTTAGCTATTGTAAATAATACTGCAAAGAATGGGGTGGAGGGTGCATATATCTTTTTGAATTAGCGTTTTCGGTTTTTTTGAATAAATACCCAGAAGTGATATTGCTGGATCAAATGGTCGTTTTATTTATTTTTTTTATTTTTTGAAGAACTTCTATCCTGTTTCCACAGCGGTTGCACCATTTTACAATCCAATCATGCATAAGGGTTCTCTTTTCTTCACATTCTCACCAACATTTGTTATTTCTTGTCTTTTTATAATAGCCATTCTAACAGATTGAGATGGTATCTCATTGCGGGTTTTTTTTTTTAATTAATTTATTTTTTATGGTGACATTGGTTAACGAAATTCGATAATTTCAGCTGTACATTTTAACAGTAAGGCACATATATATTTACACTGTGTGTTCGTTCACCTCTCATAGTTAGATTTCTGTCACCACATATTTGACCCCTTTTACCCCATCTACCTCCTCATTGTGGTTTTGATTTGCATTTTTCTGATAATAAGTGATTTTGAGCATCTTTTCATGTGCCTGTTGGCCATCTGTACATCTTCTTTGGAAAAATATCTATTCAGATCTTCTGCCCACTTTTTAATTGGACCGTTTTCTTGCTATTAAGTTGTATGAGTTCTTTGTATATTTTGGATATTAACTCCTTATAAGATATATGATTTGCAATTATTTTCTCTCATTCAGTAGGTTTCCTTTACACTTTATTGATGGCTTTTTTTTTTTTTTTTTTCTGTTTTCTTTGCTGTGTAGAAGTTTTCAAATTTTATGTAGCCACACTTGTTTTCTTTTTCTTTTGTTTTATACTTTTGGTGTCAAATCCAAAAATCATGACCAAGACTAATCTCAAGGAAATTGCCATTGTGCTTTCTTCTAGGAGTTTTATGGTTTCAGGTCTTACTTTTAAGTCTTTAATCCATTTTGAGTTAACGTTTGTGTATGGTGTAAGATAGTGGTCCAGTTCATTCTTTTGCATGTGGCTATCCAGTTTTCCATTCATTGAAGAGACTGTCCTTTCCCCCATTGTATATTCTTGGCTCCTTTGTCACAAATTAATTGATCATATATGTGTGCGTTTATTTATTTCTGTGAAAAATACCATTAGAATTTTGATAGGGATTGCATCGAATCTGTATATTGCTTTGCATAGTATGGACATTTTAACAATATTCTTCCAGCCTATGAACATGGAATATTTTTTTATTTATTTGTGTATATTTCAATTCTTTAACTGTCTTGTAGTTTTCAATATACAGGTCTTTCACCCACTTGGTTAATTTATTCCTAGGTATTTTAATTTTTTGATGGCATTGTAAGTGGTATTATTTTCTTAGTTTCTCTTTATAAATATTGAATAAAAGTGGATATCTTTGTCTTATTCCTGATCTTAAAGGAAAAGCTCTTATCTTTTCATCATTGAGTATGATGTTAACTGTGGGCTTGTCATATACGGCCTTTATTATGTTGTGGTATGTTCTCCTATACATGCTTTTGTTAATAGCTTTTATCATAAGTGGATGTTAAATTTTGCCAAATGCTTTTTCTGCGTCTATTCAGACAATATATAGTTTTTTTCCCCTTCATTTTGTTAATATGGCATATCACATTGACTGATTTGTATATGTTGAACGAACCATCTTTGAATCCCTGGAACAAATCCCACTTGATCATGGTGTATGATCTTTTAAATGTGTTATTGTATTCAGTTTGCTAATATTTTGTTGAGGATTTTTGTATTTATGTTCATCAGAGATATTGGTCTGTAATTTTGTGCCCTCTCACTTCTGGTGGTCTATGAATCTGAGCCACAGAACTGCCTTTTTGGAGTACATAATCCTTATATGATGAGTTTAGTGTCTCTGTAAGCATGAAGTACTCACAAGTAAATACCAATTCTTAAACGCTGTGAGAATTGGGCCTAGCGTGGCCGATACTTTAGAGTCTCGTTCTTATATCACTTTCTCTTTTTTAATACACTTTGTAACCACTTTAGCCCCTCCTTCCACCGTACCTATCTTAGTATTCCAGTGATGTCAGGAAAATATTAACTTAAGGGTCTAAAGTATTAGCCTTATCAGTGTTTATCATGGTTATTCATTTAAGAGGTAAGCTTCATGAGAGCATGAAGTTGTATTTTGTTTTATATCACCTGGCACATGATAAGTACTTAATAATGTGTTTCATTAGTGGTTAGGTATCCTTTCGTGCTTCTCTCAAGTGGAAGTTCCCTCCTTTGAAGGTTGTTGGAAATATCAAATACAAAGAAAGCCATCAAATACAAAATACTCATGTATTTATGAATTCATGACCAAATTAAATATGAAACCTTATATAAAAAGAGGTGTGTTCTTTGTTTTCCTCCCCATCCTCCCTTTCTCCTCTGGAGCAGCTCTGAGTGACTTGAGGAGTACAGGGCTGTGTATTTTGCTGTGGGGCTCACTCCTTCCCTTCCCGCTGATGCCTTCAGGCTCGCCCCCGTGGGTAGGTTTCCTGCTCTGACTCCGGATTTCCAAGGGCCAGGTTCATGGGGACTAAAATTTCAGCTGCTCCTCCCTCCCTCTCCTTCCCCCTGGGAGACGGACCCCAGCCCCAGCCTGGCTCCCCCACAGCCTCCCCAGCTGGTGCCTGGGTTGCCCCTGGGCCTGCTGGGCTCCCACACGGTGCAGACCAGCCCTGACAGAGCAGTTGGGAAGGGGTGGTGGGTCCCTGAGGGGTGAGCTGGCCCTGGTTGCTGGGGTCAATCTGTGGCCCTACTCCTGTGGGCTTCCTACACCTCCTGGGCCACCTACACTTTCTCTCCCCATTGGCCTTTCTGCATCCTTGTCAGTGAGTCAGGTGGCTCAGCCCTGCCAGCTCACAGACACCCATTTCCCTTCTCCTTGGACTTTAGGCCCTGGCTCCCCCTCTCATCTAGAGTTCCTGGGAGGCCCCATTGCTCCCACTTTTCCCCTTCCCAGAGCAAAGGTGCTGGGTGCAGAGCTGCTCCCCCTTTGGGTGCTCCTCAGCATCCCTCACCCCCAGCCATGGATTGTGAGCTCAGTGAAAGGAGGCTGACAAGTCAGTAGAGGGCAGCATATATCTGGCTCCCCAGCTGCTGCCCTGGAGGAGGACTTAGAGGGGCAGCAGCCATGGCCTTGGAGAAGTCTGGGGCTCAGACACATGGCTTACAGCCCCTGAAGACCTGCGTGAACTGCGACTTCCTGCTCCTTCTCTTGACAAGGATTTAACCTCAAATCTCTAGGTCTTGGCACCACTAGATTGTTACAGAGGATTCCTTTGTTTCTGGGTTTGCTCTCTCCCAGACCTGAAGCCTGACTCCTGGTGGTGGAACCCACCCCAGGTCTCCAAGACCTAAAGCATCTTTCTCAGGCCAGGTGACTTCCCAGCTCTGAGCCCAGGAGCTCAGTGTCTCCTTGACCACACCTTCATCAGAGGCACTCTGTCTTTTAAGTCTAAAAAGACTTTAAAAATGGGGTAAAATATGATCAAGATTAGAAGATGAGGAAGGGATCCACTGTGACCCGGCTTTCCCCCGTGGGTGTTGCTACACATGCTCAGAGTCTCATCACGCCTCTTCTCTGGACTGACCTTGGCGTTGCTCCTGTTTAATTCTCCGTTTTCTCCTTCCCTTGTATCCCAAACCAGCACTAAGTTAAGATCCTATCCTATGATCCTTCATTACTGAGATTCCTATTCCTAAGTCAGTGCCCTTTTACCTGACCCTTGACCCCTACCCAACCCTTCCTCCAAAACATTCACATCCTGTGGGATCACCTCTGAAGATGAGGACAACCTGATTCTCATTATAGGCAAAAGCAAGCATCTAATGCTGTGTTTGAATCCTGAGGCTGCCCTTTCTTCCCCACCTACCATTCCCAAAATCTCAATCCCAGTAAGCTAAAGGCATGGGACTTACACTGCTCCTGAGCCAGCCAGCAGACCGGGGAGCTTTCAGTCACTGCAGGTGACAAAGTCCTTTCCTGACAGGCACTGGAATCAATTCTACCACCTAAACCTGTGTCTCATCAACATGGAGGCCCCTGTTTGGTTTTATAAAAACGTGAGCCATACATGGTTGTTTTCTGTTCTTCGTTGAGGGGTAGAGGTTAGAGTGTTTTTGTTGGTGGTGATTTTGCTTGTTGCTCTTGTTCGGTTTTTCATTTCATCTGTTTTGTTTTGCTAATTTTGTCCCACCCCACAAGAAGCTGTGCTAACTAGAGGCAGCAGGGGAGCCCAGAGGAGCATGGGATTTCTGCACCCAGACCCCCACCAACCCCTTCGTTCCAGCTGTTTCCTTTGGTTCTCATCTCAGACTGGTGAGGGAGGGGGCAGGGAGAAGTTTCTCACTGCATCGAGAGGCACTGCTCCTGGGCCTGGAGCTCTGCACAACACCACCCTTTCTTTACCGGGCCTGTTTGTCGACAGCCCTGGGAGGCTGCCAGCAGAGTGCAAGCCTCCCACGAGTGGCCTCTGGCAGCTCAACCCAGGATGTGGAAGCCTTGAGCTGAGCTCTGAAGGCTTAATGTTGACCCTGACTTCTTCAGTGAGGAAATGACCATGTGGAAATGCCCACGAAACATTTGTGACCCTCAAGTCCATTGATGGAAAAACATGGCCAACAGGACCCTCGCTGTGCAGGAGGGGCCTGCCAGCCCAGACCACAACTCTGTCATGGCTGGAAGAGTTTTCCCTTTGACTCGAAGGTTCTCCAACCCAGAGACAAGATGCCAGCGTTCTCAGCTCTTTCCTGCTCCCCACCTCCCAGCAGCTGTCCCCTGCCCTGCTTCAGAACTGGGGACCTCTGAAGGGTCCCTGTTCTGATCCACAAGGCCCAGCTCCTCTCCTGCTGGTGAGAACAGCTCTGCCCTTAGGGTCCTGGTTATGTGGGTCCCCTTGTCCCTGGAAGGTGGAGGGGGCGATGCAGAGAGCAGAGGGGCAAGGACAGGTGGGCACAACAGCAGTAGGGTCAGAAGAAGGTGGCAGCATCTCAGACCACAGCCGAGGAGGAGGATGGGGACGACGAGGAGGCCGCAGAAGAGGACGGTGAGGAGGGAGTGTTCCAGAACAGCCACCGCCGCTTGGGCTGCCGTTTGAGGTGGAGATAGTCCTCCTTCTCACGCTCCTTCCGTGCCCGCTGGTAGTGATCTTCTTCCTTCAGGTACCAGACGGGTGGCCACCGGTGCTTCTCAAAATACTCCTGGTTTTCTGGAGCAGAACACAGTAGGATTGGTTAGAAGAAGGACAGGAGGAGAGAGAGGAGTGTTGGGATGTGGAGGGTGTCTGGGGACACCCACCCCGCTGCCACCGGGACCTGCAGCGGGCTTCGGTCAGCAAGGAACACATCCCAGTCCCCGGGGCCAGAAGTGTAAGCCCCAGTCTCCACGGGGCTCCCAGTCTAGCTGCAGAGCTCCCTAAAGAAAGCCAGACGGGAAGATCTCAGCAGGGGCTTAATGTGCATTGGGAATAAAATAGGCTGAGACAAAGAACAAGGGAGGGGGACGGTGCGGCACGGCTGGGGTGAGAGCGGAGGTGTCTGGCAGAGCTGAGGGTCTGAGGGGAAGCGGGTGAGGGGGCTGCAGGAGAACAAGAGGGGCAGACTGGAGAAGGCCAGGCCGAGGGGTCTGGACTTGCTCTGGAAGGTGTAGGGACCTGTGGAAGGTTTGGAACCAGGTGAGTGATGCAATTGGATCTGTGCTACAGAAAGAAAACACTGGAAGGGTGGAAGGGAGGCTTGGTAGGGTAGAGTGACAGCCTGGTAGCCGGGAGGAGGGTCTCAGCAGAGTGGAGGGTGCCCAGTGAAGACCTCAAGAACACTGGGTGGCAGGCACTCAGAGAGGCCAGCGACATCGCTCCCTGGTGTCTGTGCAGTTCCTCCTGGGCCCCAGGATCTGACACACTAATCAAGCAGAGGCAGGGCCACAGGGACCTCAGAGGCTATCTGGACATGTCGTCTGAGCTGTGACCTGTGCCCTTTCCTAGGCTGTGAAACCTATGTAGCTGGTTGTGAGCAGCATTAAAAACAATTTATGTATTTTTCTATATGTGTACTGGGTCACAATATAAAACGTAGTTCTTATTGTGGAGTCCCGTCTAAAAAGTCTGAAAAATACCAACTCTATTTCAACACCCTCTTTGCACCTCTTTGCACCTGTGAGAGACAGGAGCCCAGAGAGGTGCAGTGAGTTGCCAGAGGTCCCCGGCTGCCCTGCCCTCCAGGCCAGCACTTCTCCTGGGGCGTCCTCTGCTTGGCTGGATGTCAAGTTAGGCCCAAGGATCTTTGGCAGCTTCCAGGTGCCCTGAGGTCAGGTCAGAGATTTGCACCCAAATTGAGTCCCCTTCAGCACGAAGGGGACGCGGGGAGCGAGTCCTGCCGGGGATACTCACCTGGGGACATGGCCTTCATGTCTCGGGGAAACTTGCGGCACACGTTGTTGTAGTTGGTGCAGATGTGGTGGAGACACCAGTCCGCCAACTGGTATGCACAGTGGAACTG